AGAGAGAGAGAGAGAGAGAGAGAGAGAGAGAGAGAGAGAGAGAGAGAGAGAAGCAGTGTTTTACAATTCAACGGTTAAAATACTTTAAGACATCTGTTGTTATGGTTTTAATGTGTTTTAGTTTAGGACTTAAGGCTAATAGCGTTTCAAAATCATTGTCTCTGAGATTAATGACATGACTTTCAATGACAAGCATTTGCAGAGCCGGTAGTCTTGAGATGCGATCCAAACACTCGCGAATCATTATTCTTGCTTTGATTGACAGGTATTGAAGTCGTGGCCAATGTTTTTCACAATTATCCAGTAATTTGTCACTCATTTCCTTTAAATTAAGTGATAAATGTGTTAATCGGTGGCAGAGTTTCAACGGTTCCAACAATTGGTGATCAAAAGTCAAATCAAATGTCAAATCCAAATGTCAAATCCAAATGTTTTAATCGGCGATAAATTCTCAATGAATCCAATATATGGCCACTAAATCGTGACATAAATGCTTCACTCGATTGCATTGTAAGTGACAATCGTTTCAATTGTTTGCAGTTTAAGCCAATTGTACGCAAAGACTCAGACAATGAGTTTTGATCACTTATATTAAAACTGACGGTTAATTCCCGTAATTGTGTTAATCGTGACAATTGTGCCGACAGTCCGGTCATTGTGTCAGTTGTGGTAAACGTAACACTTCTTAGGGACAGATTCTGTGCCACGAATGCCGACAATCGGTGTATATCTGAATCTGAATACTCTTTTAACTCAAATGTATGCAAATTATGCACTAATAGTGAGTCATTAGAGTTACCAAAGATGTCATTGAAAGAGACGGCCAGTAATCGAGACAATCGGTGTAAATGAATGAGTGAATCACTTTCACTCATGGACTCAATGCAACCGATTCGGGTCACCAGTGGTCCCAATGTATACATCAAATGCTCACTATTTGGCCATAAATTGCAATAAATTTGCCGCAAATGTCGGCAATTGTCTCGAAATATGTTCAACACTTCGGGAATGTGTTTCTCATATTCAGCGCTTATTCCTCGACAGTCAATGGACTGAATGTGTGGACACTTTATGGCAATTGTGGCCAACAATAGGGTTCCAATTATCTTCTCTTTCAATAATCTATGAACACATTCGTGGCTAAAAGTTCTCTCAATGTTTGGACCCTTTATTTTAATTACAAAATTGGTGTCAATTTTGTTCTCATTAATGAATTTATGAATAAATCTATCGCTAAGAGTGATGTCCACAACACTCCCGAAGACAGTTCTCTGGAACTGTTTGGACACACATTCCAATTGAAACCGATCTTCAAATGAGAGATAAGACACTATAAGTGCACACAAATCATCACCGAATCTGTCCATTGAGTTCTTCGCATAGATTTGTGTCTAAAATGTTTAACAAAAATAATGAAAACTCAATAAACAGTCAATTGTTTGTGAAATACCTGTTGTTTATTGTCTTCAATGCCCTCATCTGTGATCTCGAGTGATGTCTTCTTGTGTTTCATCTGTTGTGCCATATCTTGGGATCAAATGAAGTGATTGTTTGAATGAATTGTATTTCTGTAGCAAAACATGTGATAATATTTATATTCAATGCAAACCAAACACAAAGTGTTGACAACGAGTGAGACATCTATTGACACATATTTTCATTACATTTTGTATAACTTTTTGCCCAAACTTTGAATGAAATGCAGTATTAGTTTGTGATTAAAAATATTTTACTAAATTTGAATGAAATTAAAATTAATACTAAAATTAAATAAAAACATTATATTTTTATTTAAAATCTAATTTATTTATTTAAATCCATATATTTTAATGACAAAACAAATGTAGACTACAGTATGTCTACTATTAATAGACATGATTGCCTTTAGAGGCCTATCATTTCTAAACCAATTGATATTAAATTATAAAAATACATCGATTTATATACTAATAAATATAGTTTCTGTGAACAGAATATTTTTTAATTAACAAATTGATTCATATAAAAATTTACCTAGAATAAAAAATAGATTATTTAATGCATTATTTGCCTCACTCTAAGTCACATATAGTTAACCGTATATTTTTAATTCAATTGTATTTATTAATGAAATCATTTACACATTTTTACGCCAATAATATTTCGTAACACTATTTCCACAGAATTTAATGTTCTTTAGTTTAGAACTTTTGGACAACAGATCATTGAAATCATTATCCGAGAGATCAGTGCTTACATTGCATTCAATGATAAGCATTTGAAGAGCCGGTAGTCTTGAGATGTGATCCAAACACTCGCGATGGATGTCATGAGCACTGATGGATAAGTACTGAAGTCGCGGCCAATGTTTGTTACAATTATCTGGTAATTTGTAAATCATTTGTTTTAAAAAGAGTGTTAAATGTGTTAATCGGTGGCAGAGTTTCAACGGTTCCAACAGTTGCCGATCGATAGGCTTATAGACTACTAAACGCAATCGTTTTAATATGTGATAACATCTCAACGAATCCAATGTCTTGAGATTTAGAGGTAAATTAGTTGAATACATCAACAATAGTGACAATCGTTGCAATTGTTTGCAATTCACGCCAATTGTGCGCAAAGACTCAGACAATGAGTTCTCGCCACTCATTATCCCAAAATTGACTCTCAATTCTCGTAATTGTGTTAATTGTGACAATTGTTCGCACATTTCGGGTGAAGTCTCATCACTCCATACGCCAAGACTTGTGAGGGACTGATTGTGTGCCACAAATGCGGACAACTGTTCCTTATTATCAGTCGATTCGTACATAAATACAAATTTGTGTAAATTCTTCACCAATAGTTGGGAAGTGCTGTCGAAGACTTCGGACAACGAATTGATATTTAATTGAGACAATCGGTGGCAATGAATGAGCAATTGTTTATCCTTCGGGTAAATGATTTCAATTCGTGTGATCAGTGGTCCAAATGTGGGCAATAATTGGTTGCTATTCACCGATAAATTGCAGTAAATATCACTTAAATGCCGGCAATTGTCTCGAAAAGTGGTCAACACTTCGGGAATGTGTTGCTTATATATAATGTCTATTTCTTGGCAGTCAATGGTTTGAATGTTTGCACACTTTATGGCAACCATTTCTATAGCACTTCTCTTTTCCTTCGATAATCTCTTAATAAATTCATCGCTAAAAGTGATGTCCACTACACTCTCAAAGACTGTCCTCTGGAACTGTTTGGACACACATTCCAATCGAAACCGATCTTCGAGTGAGAGATAAGACAAGAGAAGTGCACAAAAGTCATCACCGAATCGATCCAAAGAGTCTTTTGCATAGATTTGAGACTAAAATGTAAAACAAAAATAATGAAAACTCAATAAACAGTAATTGTTTGTGAAATACCTGTTGTCTGTAATTGTCTTCATTGCCGTCATCTGTGGTCTCGAGTGATGTCTTGAAATGTTTCATCTGTTGTGCCATATCTTGGGATCAAATGAAATGATTTTATGAATGAATAGTATTTTTGTGCCCAAAATGTGATAATATTTGCATTCAATGAAAAGAACACAAAGACTGACAACAAGTCTGACATCTATTGTATTGACTAATATTTTCATAACATTTTGCCTAAACTTTCAATTATTGTTTAAATAGATTTCTAATGATTTATAAATTATTATTAATTATTAACTAAAATTATATTATATTTAGACAATAATTATAGAAATAAAATTAATGAGATATTTATTTAAATTAAAATATATAAATAAATACGTTTAACATAAATACTCAACATTTTATATCTAAATAACAGTAAAAAGTTTTTATCGCAAATTTAAACTGTTTTTACGCAATACTAGTGTTATTCGGGACTAATATTTGGATCCATTGTATGGCCATTGAGTCGGCAATCAATTCAACACAAGACAATTGTCACTAATCTATTCTTCAATTTGTGTTCTTATCAAAATATTTTATTCTAATTTCATAATAATTAGTAATTATTTATCAAAATCTTTATTTACAGTTATAAGCAAAATATTAATAAATTTTGATACAAATATAATTTAAATTTAATTACAAAACAAATAAATAATTACTACTTTATAGTAAACTTATAAATATATTCCCAAAATATCTGCTATTTTTGTACTTTTAATTTTAAATAATTATAACAAATATTACGGTAAAAATGTTTTCTAATAACAAATCCTCGGATTTCAATGTGTTTTAGTTTAAGACTAATGGGAAACAGATCCTCAAAGACATTATCTTTGACCGCATCCTTGTTTGCCCACAAAAGGGAGTGAATGACAAGCGTTTGCAGCGCCGGTAGTCTTGCGATGTGTGACAACCACTCGGGAGTTAGTGTTAAAGCTTTGATTGATAAGTATTGAAGTCGTGGCCAATGTTTTTCACAATTGACAAAAAATTTAGTCTTCATTTCCCAGATATCAAGTGTTAAATGTGTTAATCGGTGGCACAGTTTCAACGGTTCCAACAATATATCATCATTTGACTCAAATAGTGTTAAATCTAAACGTTTTAGTTTGTGATAACTCTTCAACGAATCCAATGTCTGGCCATTGAGTGGCAAACGATAGGAATCCAAACGAAGTGCCAATCGTTGCAATTGTTTGCAGTTTAAGCCAATTGTGCGCAAAGACTCAGACAATGAATTTTTGTCACTCTTTACCCTTAAATGAAGTCTCAATTGCCGTAATTGTGTTAATCGTGACAATTGTCCGCATATTTCGGTCACAGACTCGTGATTCTCATGTCTCCACTCCTCACTCATTACTTCAACACTTTTAAGGGACAGATTCTGTGCCACAAATGCGGACAACAGATCCATACAGTCGTCCGGATATAACCAAAACGAAGACTTTTGCAAATTGTTTGCCAATAGTTTTCCGGAAGTCCTGTCGAAGATATAGGACAACGAGTGGACATCCAATTGAGACAAATGGTGACAATATCTGAGATAACGTTTCTCTGCATATAATCTATCACTGAATCGTGTGATCTGAGGTGCGAACGGTTGGATCCATTGGACACTTTCTGTCCAGAAATTGCAGTATATTTCACGTAAATACAGACAATTATCTTTCAATACCTTTAGTACTTCAGGAATCCATTCATACATTCCTCGGCAGTCAATGATCTTAATGTTTGTACATTTTATGGCAATTGTGGCCAACATTTGAAAATCAATTTCCTTTTTATCGTTTCTTATTTTACTAATAAAATTGTGATCAATAGTGATGTCGACAACACTCTCGAAGACTGTCCTCTGGAACTGTTTGGACACACATTCCAATCGAAACGGATCTTCGAGTGAGAGATTAGTCAACAGAAGTGCACACAAATCATCACCAAATCTGTCCATTGAATTCTTTGCATAGATTATCGGCTAAAATGTGAGATAAAAACAAATAATTATTTCAATTAAATTTAAATATTTATTAAACAATTAGTGAAATACTTGTTGTCTATTGTCTTCGTTTTCGCCGTCATCTGTGGTCTCGAATAATGCCATCATTTATGTTAACTCTTGTGTCATATCTTGAGATCAAATGAAGTGATTGTTTGAATGAATTGTATTTTTGTTACAAAAATGTGATGATATTTACATTCAATAAAAATAATACAAAGACTGATAATAAGTCTGACATCTATTGTATTGACTACTTTTCCCCCAAACTTTCAATTATTGTTTATAAATAGATTTTTAGTGATTTATAGATTATTATTAATTAAAATTATTTTATATTTTAAATATAATTATAGAAATAAAATTAATTCAGATATTTATTTCAATTAAAATGTTTTGTGAATACGTTTAACACAAATACTCAACATTTTATAACTAAATAAGAGTAAAGGTTTTTAATGCAAATTTAAACTGTTTTACGCAATAAAAGTATTATTTTGGACTTATATTTGAATAAATATTTATCTACTTATAAATATTTACGATAAACGAATTTCAATTTATAGTTTTGTCAGGCCCGAGTGGTAAGGCTTTTGGGTATTACTTATATTAACTAAAATTACTTTTAATCATAAACACAATTCAAATACTGGCACACAATCACACATTCAGTCACACATAAAGTCAAACACCT